TGATTCTATAAGGCTTCAGACAATCGGCACATTCAGAGAATATCCCACTGCGCTTTCCGCAGCGTTGAGTGAACCTATGAAAGAGAACTACTGATCTTTGCAACGGAAGTGAATCAATCAAAAGTAACTTTAGCTGGATAATAACTTTATTCTAGAGCTTCTGTAAAACCAAAACAATCTCTGTTAGCATACTTTAATTCCCTATTATTATGACTGTAAAGCTGCTTCACAGGCGTGCCCGTGATGAACTCCCACTGGCCTCGTTTTACGCAGGATCCCGTTTAGACCAATCAGCGCGCACGCGATCAGCCCTGCCACAGAGAGAGTCAATCTACCGTATATCAGATGTGTTTGCAACTTTGCATACATCAAAAGTAAGTGTTTAATCACTGTTTTAGGCAATAGTTGCATGTGTTTCGGCTATCGCGCACGCCGGTTTCAGAGCTGACAGCAGAGACCAGGCAAAAGCAAGCGCGTTTTGCATAAATGCACAGTGTTAAATCCTTGTTTTAGGTAACAGTTGCATGTATTTATTCGCGATGTTTAAGCATGCGTGGTAACGTAGGCTATGCATGAATCGATATTTGTATATCCTACTAGGCTATCTTACCTGTTTATAATAATGCTTTTCTCTTAAAGTTATCGTTCATGGCATTTTTTATTGTTGGGAAGCTGTAAGTAAACAACATGGTTTGCGCATGCTCGCAGTCCAAATTCAGCTTACATATAATTCTCAAATGTCTTCTCTTTTGACTAATTGACACTTTGAATGCCGATTTCATGTGATTATGTTCATTCTGCTTTAACAGAAAACGACCACACCTTTAGTATTGTACTACATGAAAAGGGATGGTTAATTCTGTCATCATCAGTTACAGACAAGCCAAACCTGTTTGAGTTTCTTTCTTCTGCTGAACACAAAGGAAGATTGTCAGTAAACTATAAATGATTGATCATGGACCCCATTGACTTTCATAGACTTTTTGTAGGCTAATCTGTCATCATTTCGTCTATTCGCCCTCAAGATGTTTCAAACCTGTTTGAGTTTCTTTCTTCTACTGAACAGGGAACACAAAATATATTTTGAACAATATGGGTAACCAAACCAAAAAAAAACAGTTTGGGCCCCCGTCTTGTTTTTCGAGTAGATATCTGATACAAAAAAAAAAAAAAAAAAAAAAAAAATATTTTTCTCTCTCGTTTTAAGTGCGAATAAAAAAAACAAAGAACAATACATTTAATTTGGGATGGAGCCTACAGGTAAACAGGTAAAGGTAAATATTTTGAAATATGTGAAATATATCAGATATATTTTCCATTTATTGTCCTTGTTTCTTTCCCATTTTAGCAGTTGTCCCACCTTGCCTTAACCTCTAAAAGTCTATTATTATCATGCACAGTTTTTCTTTTCAAGTAAATGTACCTTGTTTCAAGGATATTTTATAGTAAAAACAAGACGAAGATACAGATTTTTATTGAATTTTTTTTTTTTTTTTTTGCGGTTCTTGCATTTTCACCAGAATATTGGTGCTTTTCACTATTCCCATAGTGTGAGATTGCAGAAAAAAAATGTTTGTATTGAACATTGATTGTGCAACAGATTTTGTGTGAAAATAAATTATAAAAGTGGTTTATTTTGTTTAAAAATCGTATAAGGGTAGCGAGGAAGGCCTTTTACGCCACAGACACACAGTATTGATACAAATACTTTAGATAAAACAATATGCTTTTAATAATGTCTAAATTAATACTTGCACAAAAAAATAACTTTCAGCAAAGTTTGTACCATTTTGTTTATTTTAAGAAATATTTTTGTTCAATAAACATACTGTCATTAAAATATGTTAATATAAAAAAAATACAGAAACAAAATTATTAAAAAAATTAAAGAGAGACAGAAACCTAAAGATACTCTTCTCTCTGTCAGTCATGACAGCAGAATATCGCTATCTTCACGTGACGAGGCTCTGGCTCGTGTGACGCTTGTTGTTCTCCTCTGTGGGACTGATGTTAGATGCATTTACACTTGAGGATCAGTTTACAGTGAGCCAATGTGCCAAAAACCGTCCCTGGCGTCGCCTTTCCAGTGCTATCTGATCTTCAGCTCATTCGCACACAAAAGACTCCCAACGCCTCTTGACAAACCAGTTTGGTGTTTTTAATATTACATCTAAATCTTATTTTCACTCTCCGTTGGAATATATTTGACAGTCCTAATGGAACTTTCTTGCTTTAATCAGATGAAACTCATTATGCAAGATGGTTCCTTCCAACAGTTTAGATATCAATATATATATACAATTAAAATGTATATATACCACTAAAAGCTAAAATGTCTTGCCTCGGATTTTTGAGCCGAATTATATATTTGTTATTATTTTTTTTTCTATTGCATTCTTATTTTAGGCCAAAAATGGTTTGTTCGTCCAGCAGAAACAAAAACTGTACACAATAATTATAATTATATATAGATAGATACACTGCCGTTCAAGAGTTTGGGATCAGTAAGATTTTTAATGTTTTTAAAAGTAATCTCTTCTGCTCAAAGAGGCTGCATTTATTTGATCAAAAAACCCAAAACTGTAATATTGTTAAATATTATGACAATTAATAGCTGTTTTCTATTTGAATGTATTTTAAAATGTAATTTATTCCTGTGATCGAAGCTGAATGTTCAGCATCATTACTCCAGTCTTCAGAGTCACATGATCCTTCAGAAATCACTCTAATATGATGATTTGATGCTCCAAAAAACCCCATAAAACATTCATTATTATTATCAATGTTGTGGACAATGGTTTTTCAGGATTCTTCGATGAATAGAAAGTTATATTTCATTTATTTGAAATAGAAAGCTTTTGTAACATTATACATGTCTTTACTGTAACGTTTGGTCAATTTAAAGGGGCATTGCGCAACATTTCATGTTAAAAATACCCGTTTTTCTAACCCATACATGCTTAAACAATTGCCTGATGGGCTGAATGAGCCCTTCTCTGATCACTGCGATTGGCTCTATAATCCTGTACAGTAAAATAAATAAGAGGGATTCGGGACGGACTTTGAGACTGGGCGTGACGTCACGCGCGTTCACACTCAACTGGCTATGTCTGGCAGGTTTGTGTATTCGCCGCCATTCTCCGTATCAGCGAAGACAACTCGAGCGACAAAACTTTAGTCAACTTTCGACAAAAGTAGAAGATGGATTCAAAGAGACCGGCTTGTAGTTCATTCCAAATCCCAACGCAAACTCCACGTAAGACAAAGAAAAGAAAACGTTTGTCTAGTGCCACCAAAAGGGCCAAATTGGAGTCAGACAGGCGTCGGAATAAGACCAGAGTCAACATCGGGAAGGCTTTCAACAAATGGAGAGATCTCCAGTCCGCTCTAGGGCTCAAACGGGATCCTCAGTTGGCTTTTTTTCTTGATAAAACGGTTCATGAACGTGTTTCCATAATAATACAATCATAAGTGGATACAGTAAACGCATAAAACAGTTCAACATGGAGATAGATGGAAACAAAAACTGAAGTTTTCTACTACCCCCGTTTTCCCCTCACACATAAGTGTGTAATTTACTCAAATGCCTTTCCTTTCATATATTTAAAATGACTTGCAGATTTATAACTTTATTACCTCTGAAGACATTATGACTGTAAACAAAAGATTTGTGCGGCTGATGCTCCTTTTGTTATGAACAGCTCGTGCAAGCGTGCGTGTGCGTGTGCGTGTGGTCCATGAGCGTGCACACCTCTGGTTGCAGTTTCACTTGTCGCCAGAGGGGGCGTAGTTCTGCAAAAACTCAGAGACTTGCGCAATGCACCTTTAATGCATCCCTGCTGAATAAAAGTATTGATTTATTTTATTTCTCTAACCAAAAAAATAATAATTTTCTGACCACAAACTTTTGAACGGTAGTGTATAATGTTACAACATCTTTCTATTTCAGATAAATGCTGTTCTTTTGAACTTTCTAGAAGAAATTTTAAAAACCCTGAAAAAAAATTACATAACTGTTTTCAACATTGATAATAATAATAAATGTTTCTTGAGCATCAAATCATCATATTAGAGTGATTTCTGAAGGATCATGTGACACTGAAGACTGGAGTAATGATGCTGAAAATTCAGCTTTGATCACAGGAATAAATTACAATTTAAAATAAATTTAAATAGAAAACAGTTATTTTAAATTGTAATAATATTTCACAATATTACTGTTTTGTTGTTGTTGTATTTTTAATCAAATAAATGCAGCCTTGGTGAGCAGAAGAGACTTCTTTTAAAAACATTCAAAATCATACCGATCCCAAACTTTTGAACGGCAGTGTGTATATATATATATATATATATATATATATATATTAGGTTTTTTTTAACACTACTACGTGTTAGTGTTATATTTCTCAAAGAGCTGCAAGTAAGAAAACGGTCCCACTTTATATTAAGTGGCTTTAAGTACTATGTACGTACATTGAAATTATTAATTTGGTACAATAGACTCATTGTGTACATACATGTTTTTACATTGTACTTATATTTTAAAAATACCTGCATGTAATTACAGCTGTAATTAATGTATGCAATTACATTTGTAATTACACTGTTGACCCTTCCCTTACACCTTAACCCACCCTTAAACCTACCCACACCACCACACCTGTCCTAACCTTACCAGTATCACACCTCAATAGCAGCAAAAGTGTTTTACAATACAACCTGAACACAATAAGTACATTGTACTTATTTTTCGATGTTAGTACATAGTACTTAAAGCCACTTAATATAAAGTGGGACCAAGAAGACAATATAAACAGGTGCATAACACCCTGAAGAAGCAAAAGTACCGGAGCTGCATTCCTTTAACACACACATTTAACTAGATTGTCACCAAGATGTCCGTTCATTTGACCAATCAGTCCAACTCCTCTTACAGGTTATACAGCAACACAGACTGAAACCCGAGACGGGATCGGACGCCTTCGCACGCGAGCGTTGGAAGGATTATAAGAGCAGCTCATTCACAAAACACAAGACTTTCTCTCTTCATCTGGTGCAGAATTGAAGATTGCATGAGAAATGGGTGAGAAATCATTTTGTATCAGCCATATTCGTCTGTTAAAGGTTATAGTTCACACACACAAACCTTTTTGACTTCTACACGAAAGACTACTTTTTGATGAATGCTGGAAAACACAGTTTTGGTGACGATTGACTTCCGTTGTATTGTAAAAAAAAATATACAAATGCTTAAAATGTTTTCTTTAATGTTTCACAAAAGAAAGAAATTCACACCGGTTTGGATTGAGAGAGAATTTTCAGCAAAGTAACTAGGTCAGCGATAATCTCAAGCACAAGGCAAATCCCAAGTAGTTAGGGAAAGAAAATCAAAGGAAAGTCTCTGTTTTCAACATTATTTGGCTACATTTGGAAGGAAATACTAGGATCTATATTGTGCACCAATCCAAATACTGTATGACCAATAAAATCAATGTGAAACCTATGAATTTGCCAGAATATTTTGTGTAGGGTACAACAGGGCGAAAGCCACTTTATTTAAGTATAATAAAAACATTATAAGTGTGTGCTTGGGACATAGCTTTTAATCGTGGTTCATTTATATTTTAATATAATTTATAATTTAAGAAAATTTATATTTATTGGACAATATATGGTTATCGGCATTCAAATATAAAGAATTATCGGTTATCGGTATCGGCCAAAATGTTCATATCGGTGCATCCCTAGTGTTTTTATATCGTGTAAAGCACTTTGTGCAATGTTGTGTTAAAAGTGCTATATAAATAAAATTTTACTTGCTTGCTTAGTGAATCCAGAAGTTGATAAGGGAAGTTGATTGATATTGCTGTTACTGTGTTTTTACTCTTGTGAAAAAATCTTCACTGCTATCCTGTGGGTAAATGAATTTAAATGAAACCCCAGTGAACTCTTTGTCTCTCCCCGTGTGTGTGTGTGTGTGTGTGTGTGTGTGTGTACAGCACAGAAGACAGCACTGATGGTGTATGCCCACCAGAGTCCCGTCTCCTTCAACGCTGCTGCGCGGGACGTCGCTGTCGAGGCTTTGACGAAGCAAGGCTATAAAGTCCTTGTGTCGGATCTCTATGCTATGAGCTTTAAATCCTCTGCTACTGCAGATGATATCAAGGGTACGAATTTCCTGTCATGAAACATCTTCAAATATCTGCTTCATGTACAAATGTAAGGAAAATAAAAACTGTATTTATATTAAAATGCTACAACTATGTTTGTTGTAGCATTGTTAACACATACGGGATAATCAACGGCTAGCTGTGCATCAAATGATTTAATGTTTCACTCTGTTTCGCGTCCAGTGGTTCGCGTCGTGCATTAAAATAGTTTAATCCACAGCTAGCTATTGATTATACCTTACTTACACCATGGTCTGTCTGAATACTATATTCTGATTGGCTGGAAGGTGTGCAATAAAAGCGTTTAATGCACAGGTAGTTCCAGTCAGCTTAATCACCGTTCTATATTAATGCACTGAATTAACACACACACACCCATGACTTTTAATAATAAAATAGCTTTGCTACTGAATCGCTACATTATATTTCTCTGCAACGAGGGGGGTAACAGCGCTGTTTTTGAAGTAATTAAACTCACAGCTTCATTGTTAGTAGAGAAAGAAACTGCACAGATGCAGGTAATTCACACACGCATCTCTCTCTCTCTCTCTCTCTCTCTCTCTCTCTCTCTTTCGATAATTAATTCAAATAAATGCTATAATTCATTCATGCAAATAAGTGTAATCCTACGCACTACTTTATCTCTCAGCGGGCAGAATGCTAGATCTAACGAGCCGTAACTGACGAAAATAACCGTTGTTTTTACCCTTCAGGCCAAATATTGACTGGTCAAAGTTTGCAAATCACTATGGTATAAGCGGGATAATCCACGGCTAGCTGTGCATTAAACCATTTAAATGCACTCCGCGGAGGCAATCACCCTTTGGTTCGTGTCTGGCTATTCTTTACCTCCACAAGTTTACACGTACATGAAATCCTCTGTCGATTATTCAGACAGACCATGGTATAAAGGAGCATTATAAAACATATTTTAAAATCATATTAGACAACGCTTTTATTCAGAAAATATGTTAATGGACATTTTTAAAAAGGTTTCTCCTGGAATAATTTTAGAATTTCTGACAAATATTAAATCGAAAGATTCTATGTAAATGCTACTATTGGTTTAAATGTCTGATTTTGTCTATTTTATTGTTTTTTAAGAAAAAATTGTTAAATTATTGTAAATAATGTTTTTAATTGACTGTAATCAGAATTATTTTTTAAATTGCTTTTTATTCATTTTTTTTAATTATAATTTGTGGTGCCTGATGTAAGATGAGTGATCAGCACGAACACAAATACTCTTATCTCGTTGAAATCTTGGCGGATTTACAAACGGTTTGGTTTCTTACAAACGTTATTAAAGTGGCTATAATTCTGGATGATTATTTATTGATACACTTATTATTCATAAGTGTGCAGTGTCATAACTACATCTCTGAAGTTTATAACAAACCAAACCGTTTGAAAATCGGTTGAAAATTGAGCAAGTTATGGTTATTTAAAAACACAATGTTGCGAGTGAGCGAGCTGACTGTGGCAAGATGGCCGCCAGGTGCGGACTCGACCTCCATTGGCCAGCAGCGCAGACGAGACATCTAGCCTTTATTATGTATATCTGGTTACGGCACGCACAGAGATGAAAAGGGACTGTATGTATAGACTTATCTAACTCTGGGGGATACTGTGAATAAGCTAAAGTCCCAAAAAGTCGGCATGTTCCTTAAAATCATAAATATATGAATAAAGGAGCATTATACTACTGTAACTATTCCAGGTGATCTGAAGAACCCTGAGCACTTTGTGTACAATGAGGAGATGATGACGGCGTGGCAGGACGGGCGATTGAGCGACGACGTTTCAGAAGAACAACACAAGCTGGAGCAAGCGGAGCTGGTGATCTTTCAGGTAATCCCGCCATACTCATGTCAAATGATCATACATTTCACCTCGATCTCAGAGCAATAACATGATTTGGATTATATTCACAGTTCCCTCTCTACTGGTTTAGTGTGCCTGCCATCATGAAGGGCTGGATGGACCGAGTCTTAACTCAAGGATTTGCCTTCACCCTGCAGAAGATGTACGACAACGGCATTTTTAAGGTCTGAAAAAGGCTTGTTTTGTGCACCTGACATCGTTGATTCCTGTTTTTGTGATTCGTAACTGTGATCAGATTTAGTTTAAATGTCGTGCGTCATTCACACCAGAATAAGAAGGCCATACTTTCATTCACCACTGGGGCAACAGAGTCCATGTTTCTGGCCGACGGCGTTCATGGAGACATCAATGTTCTCCTTTGGCCTTTACAGGTGAGATACATATCTCATATCATGAGTTTTGTTTGACCTTTCAGCTCAGTGTACTAGTTTCACAGCTTAAAACATCCCTCCCAAACAGAGCATTTATTCAAATTAAGCTGCGTAAACAAATCTTTGTGCAAATTTGTCGGTCATTAGGGTTGCCAACTATCCTGTATAATGTGGAATCATCCTGGATCAGTGTTGCATTGTGTATTTGGTATCCAAACATTTGGTATCTCTAAAAAGCCCTGAATGTGCTTTTAAAACTGTGACATGTATAGATGTTCTCAATCTCTGGTGTCAGAGAAAATATAGGCCACATTTACACATAGCCGGGTATTTAGAGAAACGAATATTTCCAATAATAACATTGTGCACACAACATCGTTTTCAAAAAAGTTGTTATTTACATCAACATCGAGCGCCATCATAACTCTGCCAAACTGGGCGCATAATGTGACGTTTGAGAACCTAAAACCTCCCTGTTGACACGGCAACACATAACCGGCGTTATCAGAAATCTCCACTTTGGCCGGAGTTTTTAGAAATAATCGTTTTCTGTGATAAAAACGGGGTTTTCGTGTAAACGAGAGGCCAAACCGCAGGGAAATATCTGCGTCTTCCCTTCGTGTAAACGGGGCAATAATGTCCACTACAGTGGACAAAAGTCTATTCCTGGGTCCTAGGAGGATATGATACGACATCTTCGAGATTTTATTTTTTATTACATTTACATTAAGAAAAAAGTAGATTACAAAGAGTAGGGCTGCACGATTATGGCCAAAATGATAATCATGATTATTTTTATCAATATTGAGATCACGATTTTAACCAAAGCTAATGTTATTGTCACATAGGCTAATTACAACTGCTTTCACATCCATATTGTGCTACATTCCTGCTAATGTACAACTATATGCATTAAAATAAAACCGGTCCTCTTATTCACCAAATTTCAGTGCATCTCCTTAAAGAATAAATAAAAATAAAATAAAACAATGAAGAAAATGTAGCAAAACTTCAACAGGGCACCATTTTACATTGTGTAAATATATTTTAGGAAGCAAAATATAAACTTGCATTATTCCTGCATAATGGATGTGAATAAAACTCAAAATATACAATCAATTAAATACAAATATTTCATAACAGAATGTAACTAAATGAGAACATTTCAAGGCAGAACTGCACTGTGGAAGTTCGATTAATGGATCAAATTCAGAGTCATTGTTATTTGATGCTTAAGAAATGTAAAATGTTGTGGTACAGGGTCAGTGATTAGTTGTGAAGTCTTACTGCATAAATTGGTTCTTATTTAATCCTCCACATGAAAGTTTATGTGCTCAAATTATTTATATTTATTAAACAATAGTTCAAAACAAGATGTTTGTAGTACTGATTATTAGAGTCCATTAATCGAACTTCCATGCCTCTTATTATAGTAATTATATATTACTATGTAGTATGTACCAATTTACTAATGCTCACACTCGGTGGCCCTGTCCCAAATGGCACACTCCGGACTTGTGGACTTCCTCAGAGTCCACACTTCGGTGACGTCATGTAGTGCAGACCTATAGAGCCCTTTGCGCGAGTCCGCGAGGGCGCATTGAGAGGTATTTTTGGGACAGACTCGATCGTCACGCCAGAAACAGGAAGACGGTATGATTGTTGTTATGGACAGGAGCTACAGGTTCGGGGAAATATCCTGCCTATTGTTGTTGTGATTACATATGACTCAGGAAAGCCCTGACATTCTGTTCTATTTATTTAATGAATCATAATGCGATCGTATTATTCAGCTCGCTATTATTAGCCTATGTTTGAGACATCAACCACTGGTCGATGATCATAATGTTTGTATAAACTTGTCATAAAAACCCTAATGATAATTACACTTAAATATTTTCTTCTCAGCCATGTTAACAATTGACCGTTCGCAAAAGCCACGCCCCCTAGTTATTGTTACTACGCCCGTCAAACACGACCAGCGCCACAAATAAAGAGGTATACCCGTACGTGTCAGTGACCTTTTTTGGAGCAATACCTCTGCGATATCCTCCAGATCCTACACAAGGGGTTACAGTATACAGTGGAGGGATATATTCAAAACATAAAAATACTTAATGAAGGAGACACGACTACTATCGAGGCTAATGCTTATACCGGTCTCAAGCGAAATCTGAGAAACCCCATGACCTGTACCTCAAATACAACCAGCACAGCCTTGAAGAAGACTTTATAAGCTGGTTCAGTGGCTAATTGTTTGGAGTTAGAAATATATAACTCGCGCTGCATATTTAGTAATTTTGCCTCAGGATTATACATTCGCTTTAACAACCGCTTGCGTGTCATGCTGAATAAGATTTTCGTGTTTAAAAAGTAACTATACATAAGAGACGGAAAGATGCAGATAACCAGACATTATTTAAGGTTATTTCTATGCGTTACGATATTGATATATGAACTGATGTTGTCAAGTAAGCTTCATGCGTTCCCCGTTGCGAGCGTGCACTCCTCTAAACTGTTGTCTATGGTGCTGCACTGCTAGTGACTGCTGCTCATTTCCCCCCGAAAATATCATGTTAACAACAACCCTTTAGAAAACGTAATTCCTTTGTGGATCCTCTTGATCTGCTTTCTCCATGTTTCTTTGACTAATCTCAGTGTCTCAGCACTGAGCACTCGCTGCACGCGAGTTAACCATGTTCGACACATGTAACTGGGAGTGGGGCCGTCCACACTGTTTTTATCCATAGGCACCGCTCAGGTTGTGTTTTCGGCTTTGGGAATGGAAAGAACAGAACTCCTTCAGACAATCTCTCGGGGTATCTAGTGTCCGATTTACAAACGCTGTGGGCGCATCGCTTCACCATCTTGCTTGGAGTCAATGTTTGACGGACCTGCTCACATAGTAACGGTTGCTATGATGTGTAATTGGACAATGGACGTTTTTGGGGCTTGCGAACGGTCAATTGTCCGTGAGCGAAATCTCCTCCCATCCGTTGTCTGATTGGCCTTTCGCAAGGATTCCTGGGTAGTTAAAGTGCGTGGAGCCTGCATCTATGCGGCTTCGCGGAAGACCGCTTCAAGGGTACACAGGGGGCGCTGCTGAGCACACTTCAGAGCGTTAAAATGCTAAATGGGACGGCCTACGGACTCGTAGACTCGGCGAGCACACGCAATTTAAGTCCACGAGACCGAAAGTCCGCATGAAGTGCGCCATTTGGGACAGGGCCGGTCTCTCTCGCACACTGGGGCTCATGGAGGCACGTGAGCAGACAGTGGTTTACGGAGCGCTAGATTGGCTTTGCAACAAAAAAAACCTTTGATATGGAGCGTTGTGAACGGAATAACGCATTTTAAATATCGCTCGATCACGCGAATTTGAACCCAAAATCGTGATCGTGATTAAAATTCGATTAATCGTGCAGCCCTAACAAAGAGTGTATGTGTTTTCTTGCACACAGAACGGAGTGCTGCGCTTCTGTGGGTTTCAGGTCCTCGCTCCTCAGATCTTCTGGTGTCCGGCGCACTCGCCAGCGGTTGTGAGAAGCCAAATGTTGGACGCGTGGCGGGAAAGGCTTCATGGCGTGTTTGCGGAAAAGCCTCTGTCCTTCGCTCCCACCGATCACTTTGACCTCAGTTTCCAAGGAGGATTTCGTCTTCGGCCGGAGGTCAGAGAGAAGTGTGTGTCTCTCACTCATGGCATCACCACAGCTCATCATCTAGGAAAACCACTTCCTCCAGACAACCAGACCAAAGCTAAAGACAGCTAAAGGATCCAGCGAGACAGCGCTAGTTACTCGTGCAAAGAATCGTTAGCAGAATGAGGAAGTTTTAAGAGAAAAATGCTTGAGATTATAATATCAGCCTGTCATTTATGGTAAACAAAGCTTTACTCTGGTAACACTTTACAATAAGGTTCATTAGTTAACATTAACTTATAAGAACTAACAATGAGCAATACATTTGTTACTGTATTTATTAATCTTTTTTAATGTTAGTTAATAAATATCCAGTTGTTCATTGTTTGTTCATGTTCACAGTGCATTAACTAATGTTAACAAATACAACCTTTGATTAGAATAATGTATTAGTAAATGTTGAAATTAATATTAACTAAGATTAATAAATGAAGTATTGTTCATTCTTAGTTCATGTTAACTGATGAACCTTACTGTAAAGTGTTACAGTTACTCGTTCAAAGAATCATTAGCAGAATAAAGGAAGTTTTAAGAGAAATGTGCTTGAGATTATAATATCAGCCTGTCATTTATGCCTTATATAACCAACATTATACCAGCAATAAGCAACTGAATAATGTGACTAATCAATAAAACTTATTTTTACTGATATCTATTGTTATTCTAGTATAGTTATACACCCATATTGGTGTCTTAATGAGGTAACTTGTCAAATAAAGATTATTTGATTATTATATGACAAATTAAATTTTTAAAAAAAATATATATAATATTTGTAATACTTATTAGAAAAATCTGGGCATTTTAATGTGTTAACGCATCTGTTGTGTTATGATAAACTCATAATCATGTTGTTTTACATTTTGAGATTTTGACTACAAATACAAAAAATAAATAAATAAATATAAGAAACTACTATTTTGTTTTGGATGTTTATTTCACAGAATTGTTCACAGAATCTCAAGATTTTTTATTTATTCTTTGTATAATGTATTCTTTTAAAATAATTGATGTAACATTATGTAAATAGCCTAAATGAACAAAAACATTAAACTTTAAATATGAAGGTACATTTTAACTGAAAGGTTGAATTGTGTTCATAATAAGAATGTTATTTTTGATTTTATTATTGATTAAAATAATGTTAGGTAGTATTTAACGCTTCACAACACAGTCATTAAATTAGCTGGTTTCCATTGTGACAACATGGCCCGCTATTGAGTCCGTTTGTTTATTAGCGGGTTTTTTCTTGGTCAATAAAGGTGGAAATGTTCAACAGCTTTGTATGTATGTGTCTTATAAACTGACTTAAAAACTAAATCTACTTTGAGATACATTTATTGACAATTTGCCACGGTGTGGTGACTTTTTTGTTGTTGTAGATGGGTCGATGGGACCTTTTTCTTATTGAATAGGCCTACAAAATCTGAATACTACAAAATTGCATAAACAGTCAATATACAGAGAAAAAAGGCTCAACACAACAGTACCATATTAAATCCATTATAAAATAAACAATAATACATACAATTAAATAATAATAATAATTAGATTATAAAAAACATACAAAAAAATCACGGTTTTATAGTGATTTTGGCATCTGAGAAGCATTTTAATTCATTTCTGACTATAATAAACAAAGGAGGAGATTTAAAGAATCTAAATGTATGTATAAAGTATGTTGCCAATATAATGTTATTAATCAAATCAAATAAAACAACAATCTTTGGTGCCCCGGTGTGGTGACAGATCGAGTCTCTCCTACGCGCTGACGTCACAGGCTCGCGCAAACTGACCGCGACGCGTCGCGAATACGTCATTCAGATGCGCCAGCGCGTCATTTGCTGCAACGCAATCCCAGCCATCCCATCCCAAACTCCCAGTATTCCCGGCGTCCTGTACCGTTATTCCTCCATATCTGAACTGAAGTTGAAGCGCTGATATTATGGGTGGAAGTCCAACATGAACTGAAGTTTATTTATTTGCCTGTAAAGAAGCGCTGCGCGGTACGTGTTGCGTCTTTTTATATACAAACTGCTTTATTTGTTTATAGAAATGTCTCATTCGCTGTGAATAGACAGTGTTACTGTCAGAGCTGTTGATGTCATGCACTGACAAAGCTGGAGCCATCGATGTTTTCATTTTATAATTAGCCAGAAACAGGAATCTCTATCATAAGGTTATACTTTTATTATTGTTGTTTTATTTCCATCATGCTCTAAACGAGACCTTTTACAACATTCCCAGATAATTCCCTAGATAACGGAAACAGTGCTAATGTAATAAATGTAAAAAAAAAAAATAATTTTAAAATGCATAAAGTTCCCATTATAATTTATTTTAATTATCTATTAACAAGACCATATCCCAACAGTAGATCTGAGAAAGATCAGACTTTTATTTAAGGAACAGTTAATTTCAGTTTATCTTGGATTTGAGGATTTGTTTAACTCAAATCTTTCACTTTCCTTCAGGGTTTTTCACTGGGTTTTTTTTGTACATTTTCTTTTATTGAACATTTTGAATGTACTATACAATATATTTTAAATGGCGCTGCTATTTTTTTAAAGCAATTTTTTTTCATGATTATGAGGTTCAAAAAACTGCATGTATAATTATAAAAATCAGCCATATGGTGTTTAGATTTCTGAAGTTTCTGATAAGCAATTGTTATTATCTATGAGTTAAAGGGACGATACATTCAATTTCATTTCATTCAGGTAATACATTTTACAACCAAACAGATTATTACGCCACGATAGCACGATCCATCTGCTGTCAAGACGCTGATCTTGACCATGGTGTTGACAAGAGACAGGAATATGATTGCGAACATCACGAACAATGTTTCCATGTGCAGTTTGTTAACGTTAGACGTCGTCTTTTTGTCTGGTACTAATAAAGTTCACTAGCTAAACACTAAGTTATCATTGGCTAGTTCATGCTTCCAGCTGTTAGCCAACAATGACTGTACCTAACGTTAGTTGTTCGCTGGATCGACCAGCTTACATGCATCTTTCACTGTATTTTACTGAACTCAGCACAGAGCCAACCAACCCCGTGACGTCACCAGTTATAATACTGCACAATGGCGGCGTCCTTGCCGCTAGAAAGATATAACGGTGTTTCTTTTTTCTTTTATATGTTAACATTTGTCATGTTTCTTATATAATTTTTGATTATAGTGGTAATCCATCTTGTAAATTATGTAAACTTGACTGACTGCTTCATTTCCCCTTTAAATAACAGGGACAATACAACGTTATTATTATTAAGTTATTATTAATTATTGTACAATTATTACAAGTAGTTATAATGATACTGGTATTAACTCAATTCGTTTTAATACAGTTCACCAACAATCACATTGTGAAAAATAGTTAATAGAAAAGAAAAAAAAAGTATTTTACATTTAATTGTATTACATATCTAATTATATTTAACATTTTTATTTCCACAAACTGTAAACTGTACTGTTTCCCATAATTACAACTTTAAAAAAGGGAAATACTTTATTTTAATGTCATTGTTACACGTTACATCATGTAGTTACTGTTGTAATAACTATAAATTATGCATAATTACATGATAAACACTCTAATCCTAACCCTATAGTAAAGTGCATGTAGTTCATTAATATTACTCAGTACTTAAGTGTAACCAAAACATGTTTTAAATGTTATTCATGTTTGTTCTTTTGGATGTTGATCTTTACTATCCCTAATTAGGCGTATTATTTAGTATTTTAGGCTCATTTTGAGCACATATGTGCTTTCTGCATATTTAATTGTTGCAAGTGTTATTGTTTAGTTGATTATTTTGATTTATTGTATTGGGTTGTACTTTCCCCCACTGGTTTAATTAAGATGTGTAGCTGAAATCAAACTACATGATGTCTCAACCATTTTGACATTTTTGACAACTTTTAAAGCTTTAGCTTTTTTGTCATCCTAAAAGTAAACAGTCCAGCATCAAGAATATCAAATATTCAGTTCAATTCAGATTTATTTGTATAGCACTTTTCACAAAACACATCGTTTCAAAGCGGCTTTACAGAAAATGCATGTTTCTACATTACAATTCAGAGTAATTTGTTATCAGATGTGACTGTGTCCAAGTAATGTCCAGAAATGTACAGTTCGAAGATAATACAAATCATAAGGTTAGCTAACATCAACACTTTTTGACTTTCTTAGTTTGTGTAATTCCCTTAGAGTTCAGAGTATTTATTTTCCCCCACATTAATTTCACACGTCTTGTAAAATGATGTGGTTTTGATCAATACAGTGTATACTTTTTTCTTGATTTCCCCCGAAAGAGTGAAAGTGAAATGTGACAACATGCCCCATAGGCGGGTTAAATTGTAACATGATCATATGACAAGTTAAAATGTTATCTGATCTAATAAAAAATATATACAAGACAAACTAAAATATTTTCTCAGTAAAATACAATTATTAACTTTTTCATATAAAATAAAGTCATTTGGAGTTTGACAACAAACACACCGCAAAACACAGCTAGTTCAAAACATACTAATAATTTCTGAACATTGACTCTCAGTCTTTATTCACCCTTTTCTCATGGTTTCTCAATAGAATTCATAAAAGTATAGAATAGAATAAAGTTCTAACAGGGGAGTGTGACAACATGCCCCGACGGCACACCTGTGATTTAAACCGGCTAGTGTCTTCTGCTGTAAGATTAGCATTAAAGAACTACCTTAACTGTTAAATAACAGATATAAGATTAGAATAAAAGAATAATAAAATTAACTTAAGAAATGTACCCGTATATACCCGAATGTAAGACGAGGTTTTTGTCCTAAAAATAGGCTGAAAAATGGGGGGTCGTCTTATATTCAGGGTCATCTTATATTCGAGTGGAGGCAGGAATCGATTGATAGCCTTTTTCTCCCGCGCCGTCGACTGACGAGAGCGCGCCGAGGATCTCGATGCAGCGCGGACGCGCTTGGAAAAAACGAGCATCGCTTTCATTAGGCTTGTTTGAGATGAGCAAAATCTGCGCAGAACCGATCACCGGTGATCAGCGCGAGATGCATGCCGGTTAGAAATGTGTCCGAGTGCGGTCCGCCTTGCTCTGATGTCATGCTGACGTGTGTCAAAATACTCTCGCGACCGCAAGGCGCACGTGTCGGATTCTGCAGTCGCGC